ACACGTTTAAGTTAGTGAGGAAGAATATTTGTAAAATAAATCATGAGCGTCTGTCAAGTGACTGGCAGCAGTTGTTACTGTAAAGCACATCTTTGCTCTGGCACAGAATCATTCAGTAGTGGTGCAGATAATGCTGGCTGAAAGGGAAATAAATTATACAATAAATGTGGACCACATAGACACAATGAAGTAACCAGTGCAGAGATGACACACCACGCGTGCAAGATCAGCAGGATTAGCATTTCCCCCACTCACATGAGCCACTGGACAGGAGAAGATAAAGTCTGGATTTTTGCTACTCTCTGTTGGCGAAGGTCTTTCCGTCGGCTTGCATGAGATCTTATCCAGGTTAATACCAATAGTAGAATCAGTATGAAAATAAACTTGTGATAGAGGATATTTAAAGCCCTCAGGTGAAATCCATTAATTTAGTCAACAGTAATGCTCCACAAGTTCCAATCGGGAAGTGTATGTTTTTTTAGTGGTGCAACTCTTGGTCTTGGCGATCACCAACTGAATTTGATTTGTTCCAGTATCTAACACAAATGATAATAAATTGCAGCGGCGTAGGCCTTCTCTGAGGCGTCACAAAACCCGGCAGTTGAAACTGGTTATCTGATTCAACCACCAAGAATCGTGAAATTTTGATACTTTTAATGAAACTATCTCCCTGTAAGTTGTTTCCACTCCATTCAATATCTGGAGGAACCTTTTCATCCCACTGCAACTGATGTTCCACAATCTGTGCATAATCATTTATACCGAACCGTGATCGGTGCCAACCACCAGAGGTCAAAGGTCTTTGCGATTATTGAAAGTAATGTTCGTTTGGTTAAGACTTCAGGATAGGATGAATTGACTTTGAATAAAAACATATCTGAAGCTGGATGCCACAGGATAACTAACGTTTTTTTACAGTATCATCATTGTCTATGTTCAAAGAACATTTGATAAGCACAAATCTGGATTAATTGAATTCAAGACTTCTTTGGCTGTTAGAATCCATTTCTTAGAACAAATCCTGCACGTGACAACATCTGATTCAATTGCATTTGTAATTCTATAGCTTCAGTAACTGAACTGGCTCCGGACATCAAATCATCAACGTAGAAGTCCCTAAGACATGTCTTGGAAGCCAAAGGAAAATTAGTTGCTTCATCTATTGCTAACTGCTGTACATCTTACCGCAAGGTACGGAGCTGATGCAGTACCGTAAGCAATCCTAGTTAATCGAAAATCCTGAATTGGTTTATAAAGTGAATCGCGCTAGACTATTCTCTGAAAGTCTGCATCTTTTAGTATAATTTCTCTGTAAATTTTCTCTATATCTTCAGTTATAGCTATTCTGTGAATTCTGAAACGAATAATTAATGTTGTCAGATCAGTCTGTAACTGTGGACCAACCATCAATTTCTCATTAAGAGAAATGCCGCTAGAAGATTTTGCAGAACCATCAAATACGACTCGAAATTATCACCCTTTTTTATCCGGAACTGAATGGTGCGGAGGTAAAAAACTAGAATTAGCTGGAACATAAATTTCATTTCTGGAATCAATTCCATATGACCAAGTTGTGATAGTCCTCCATAAATTTGTGATATTGACTGGAAAGAGATTTATTCTTAATAATTGCGTTCAGCTTTGTAACGATGTACAAGCAACATCCCTTGATGACCCAAGTTCATTGCCAGATCTACGAAATGGAAACTTAACAACAAATCTACCTGTTTTGAATCACGAGAAAAAATTCCGCTTGGAAATGATTTTCACACTCAATTCTTGTGCTGTGGTTAATGCTTTATCTCAAATTTCTCCAATTTTCAAAATGTTTCAAGCTGGAGCTGAACCATTGGTACAACTAGCATGATTAAGATACAATTGTTTGTGATACGCATTTAGTCTTTCCGATAATGACACAGCCGAATATTGATTCCAAAGGCTTGTTAACGAATGACCCGGAACAGTTTTAAACGTCCATGAAGCATTATCTCGCCAAATACATCTGCGCCCTAAAAGAAATATCTATTGGGCCAGGCGAAAACAATTTTGTATCTGCCAACCACAAATGTTTGAAAGATGTCAAACAGATCTATCACAACTTGATATTGAGGAAGGTCACACGTGATCTTGGGTATAACTAATGCATTAACTGAAAGGCTTGCGTTTTTATAAAATGGAGATGTTACTTGTAATTGAACTGAACTTGAAACCTTTCCAATTTTTTGCTAGCTCAGGCCATTTACACTTATGTTTGCACTAGTGCGCTTTAGCTGCAGTAAATTTACACAGTGCTCCCGAATGAATGAGCCCTGGCTACCTGAATCAATTAGGTGTGGTGTGGTGTATTTAATTATGACAAAGCACACTAGGGCTATCTGCCTAAGGGGAGGGATGCCTTTCGTGGAGGACTTTCTAAGGGAAACTGGCTCGTATACACGTTACACATGGGGAAAACCACGAAAACACCCATGCAGCCAGCCCGTTCGCGGGATTCGAACCTCGGACCGAACTACCAGTGTTCAGCGTCTTTACCGCTCGGCCGCTGGTGGGCCCCTGAATCAATTAGCATCATGCATTTTTGTAAATCACCATTAATATCTTTAACATAAACAACCGCAGTAGGCAACAAAACTGCTTGCCTGACAGGCACCGTGGCGTTATTGCTACTAATAGTATAAGTTCCGTGTTCCATGGGTATATGACATTTTTCATCATTTGAATTTTTCGAACATAACACTGTATTATGTGGCTTCGAACAATATTTACACATGCCTGCACGACATTTAAAAATGGGATGCGTTTTACTATCCTTCAAGCAATTAGCACATAATTTATTCTTTTTAATAATATCCCATTTTTCTTTGTATCTGCTACCTGAACCGCAAGTTTTAATTTCAGAAGGCAAAACTGCCTTCTCCCTCTGGCACTTCGCCAAAGAGGCAATAGCATTCGCTCTGTTTAAAATAAAACGCTTGAATTCAGCGAAAGCAGAAATTTTCTTGTTCGAATGCTCTATCGTCCACTCTTATAGTGTTTCATTATCAAGTTTTTCTTTTCACAGAAAAATAATCATAGTATCCCAATGCTCTACCGGCTGTTTAAGGATTTTAAATACCAAATTCGTAACAGTATCAATACACTGCTGTGTTGTATCGAATTAATCTCCGCTAAACCTGAAGCTGATTCATATTTTAGAACAAGCTGTGAAAAATTAATTTATTTAACGCTGTGTTTGTTATTTCTATTTAGTTTTCATAACGTTCACTAAGCGCTTTCCCATGCCTTGTCATAATTTGCGTTTGAAATTTGAACTGATTGCAGTAAAACAGCAGCTTCACCTTTCACAGAAAGCTTAAGATATTGCATTGCAAGTTTTGACTGTCAACTTTATGTACTATTATTTCCAACACTGGGCAAGAAATAAATCCCTAAATGATATCCAATCAACGTAGTTAGACAGTAAACGCTGGCAGTTCTATGCGAGGAAGTTTCAAGCCGTTTGCATTAGCATTCATTATATCTTTGCCTGAATTACTAAGTTTTTTCTTGATTTTTTCTTTAAAGTAATTTTTAATGCATCGAATTTGGAAAAACAGTTCATTCATTTCTATTTCATATTTACTAAACTCTGCGTTAGAACAAGTACCAGAAATATATCGGTTTAAAAAACAGTTTCACTTCAACACTTAATGCACCAACATCATTTTCGTACACTTCAATGGCAGAAAAAGAATTTTCTTGATTTTGTAAACCATTTACTTGTGAAATCAAACGAGTCAACTTACCCTTAATGATTCGCTTTTGCTTTAAAATCGACTCCATATTCCTGCCGCTGTTTTCACAAAATATATCCGTTTTTCCTGCACGAAATGTCCTTCTATATCAGAACGTTAAAAAATGCCTTGACACATCATACAAAGAATTGCGCTGGCTCACGACGGACCATGAAGCGGATGGAAATTAGACACAAACGTTCGTTATTGCGTTTATTAGACTGTGTGAAGAACAAGTTCGTATAATAGATGTACAGGTAGTTCGGCGCTCGCAGGCGCCCTCTTTCAGAGAACAAAATCAAAATTTACGTAAGGCGCGAACACAGGCTAAATTGATACTGAATAAATTTATCAATTATATGGATTGAACCACTTTACCTAATAACAAAAAACAGTGAAAACAAGGCTCGTATGAATTCGATTTCAAGGCTCGTATAAAGTTTGAATTTCGCTTGATCAAAATTTAAAAAAATTAACATTTTTGCAAACGGCAGTATGTATATATGCTTATAAGTTTAAGCTTCTATGATATAAAATATATATCTAAAAAATTTATTAAAGCTATAAGGTATTTCTTCCGCCTTCCTAGCGTTCCTTCGTGGTGTAGTGGTTCTGCACGCTGGGCCGATATTCCAGAGGTCCGTGGTTCGATTACTGGCGAAGGCGATTGCTAATTTTTTATCTCTCCGGCTTTTCCAATTAACCTAATGTTTCTCTACAAAGCAGATAAATGTTTTCGAATATTGTCCTTAGTCGTCTTTAGTAGTGTTCGTATATGCTGCTCTCTTTTTCAGAGAAAACTCATAATTATACGTAGATATTTTTTTATTGTATGGAAAAGTCGTTTTTATTTCATTTAGTATCTTTCGATGGAAAACAGATTTTATTGGATGTATTGCTGTTAAAGGTACCATCTGACCGAAATTGTCACTGCTTTGGAATTATGTATTTATGATCGAAGGGATATTTAGTCAGGAAATAATTTTGAAATATCTTATACTGGCAGCACTTTGCAGTCATAATAATAATTTGTCAACAGCTCCTAAATTTATAGACTTTCTTTCCTTAAATTTAACACCAAATATTAAAGAAAGACAAATTACATATTTTCACATTGGCTCCGATTTGGATATTTCGCCCTTAGCTGCATATTGCTCTAATTTCCACATTATGAGATCCTAATCACAAGTTTAATTATTCCCTTTTACTTATCAATATGGTTTTTAGGTGAAGGTAATGCTTCGCATGTGTCCATCAAATGAGGTGAGCGGAGCTGATTCATCATACATCACCGTGGACAGCCGAAAGAAGCAAGTCACGCTGTATGACCCAACTGTCTGTGGTCAGGAAACACCTGGAGAAAGACACGCTGGAGTGGCAGCGCCAAAAATGTTTGCTTTTGATGCTGTTTTCTCTCCCGATGACAATCAGGTACATATACACATATATATTTAATTTCTTGTTTGTTGTACACTATTTTATATTAAGTAGATTGTATATTACACTGCATCGCTGAAGTTAAAAACTAAAGTTAAAGTTGTATTTGAAACATATATTCTAATCATTTCATTTATAGTTCCAGTTTTATTCATATGATTCTTCTTATTTTAAATAGTTGTTTCTTCAAGATTTACAAATTTGAAATAACATGCCGATTCAGGCAGGAAACATTCACTTCTATTTTTATTAGATTAGATAACGATTGACTAATAGAGATTTTATTCACAAGAAAGAAAGAAATCTGTCATAGTTTAAGTCAAACTGCTACCCACTTTGTCAGCAAGGGCTTAGTCGTGTAATGAAAATATGTTAAATGCCGCTACTCAGACTACATCCCTGTTACTTTGACACTGTTTAGTCGCCGTTAATGTTTTATGGTAACTGAGTATGTGGGCTTAAAATGTGGATCCAATTTCTTTTATTTTCAGAATTTTTAACAATAACTACATATTAATCAATCTAAGAAGAATTTTACAGAACTAGCACAACAAGGCTTATTTAACTGATTTATGAAAGCCATAATCAAACACTTTTTTCTGTTTAAAACTGAAGAATGACTATATATAACCGGAAATCGGCAACTGAATTAATATTTAGAGCTGCGCGGTAATTCGCAAGACTTATATTATAAATGTTATATTATGAACTTATGATATTAGACTTATGTTATAAATATTCATAAAAAGTTAATTTGAGTAGAAATTTTATTGTAGAACAATCTACTGGATATGTAATTTCTTAAGGAATAGTCCACAAAGCAAAGTACAAAATGAAGCAGAGTTGCTTTCATCTATAAGTTGCGAATTTATGCAAGTTTTCTGTTATGCAAGTTACTGACACATGTAATTTCGTTAATGTTGCAGCTACCTTTCAGTTAATTATTTAACATAGTTGTTTCGGAGTCCGCACAAAATTAATTTTAATATTAAGTATTTTATTTTATTTTATTTTTGTTTTAAAATTACTAATACTTTGTATTATATCAGTATTTCATACGTAAAAGTCTGTTAACGCATATTCCATAATAGAGCAAAAAAATGAATCATTAAATACAAGTATGAAAGATCGTTAGGAAAAAAGTTTAATGATTATTAAATATTCTCTTTGTCTTTGCTCACTAAGGAATATTTGCATGCCTTATTGTGATAAACTCAAATATTTAATAGAATCCGTTATGCCAAAGTCGTCCACTCGCTTTCAATCTCATAATAAAAGTAATTGATGCAATTATTTACTAATTTTGTTAAAACAGGCCTTGTGGTTTCACGTAAAACAAAGTCATCTGAATTATTTTAAATGGATGCATATATTGACCAAACAAGTCTTTACCAGTTGTTAACAAATCGTATAAATATTACGATTCTATGTAATTAAATATAAATAATCTTTATTTAAATTATTATTAGAATAAACTAGCAAGTATAATTCACCCCTAATTCTTCCACAATTTGTTTTATCTAATAAAAATAATGTTTTCTTTATAATCATTAAAATATTCAATTTGCAAAACCATAGATAGAAATTTTAATACATCTCTTACCAAATTATTGCCTATTTATTTCAGGGTTAAAGCTTCTTTGAATATTTGGTGTTTTTTTATTTAAAACTTCATAACTTTGAAAAGGTATTAACATTTGTGGAGTTGAGCATTTGATTTTGGATTGCCACTTAACTGTTAAAGATCTTTCTTGCGTAAAAATCACATTCAATGGTCACAAGAAAAGTGTGAATTTATTGGAAATACTTCTGTGTTCAACAAATCCACATGTACAGTTCATTTAATCAAACTTCACGGGCCAATTAAATAAGGAAGAAGTAACAAAGAACTTCTTATCTGAGCTGCATAGAAGATAAGACTGAACATTGCCTCCGGCAAAACCATCGTCAAGACGACCTATCTGCGTGCAATAAATAAAGTCAAAGGCTAACATGGGGATTCAAGTATACCAGGATATTCTTGAAGAGTTTCGTTACTTTCGAGAAGTAAGGATAGCTTGAGCAAATTAGCAGGACTAATTAATCTCCCTTGATGTTGGAATGGAGAAGCTTGTTAAATTGAGTATCGCAGTATAACCTTGTTTGAAGAGGTACCGGTAACTTTCCAAGATCAAAGAGTTTTTAGTTAGTGTTATTAGACTTGTTCTCGGAGCTGTCTGGTAATTAACTGAAATCACCAACTGGAAATGTTCAGAATCTGATAACATCTCCAGAATTAAGTTTAATTACTCCAAATTGAAAGGCGATTAAATTATTGGTTATTTAACTGAAACACGTTTGTTTAGTTATTTTTTATCAAAAAGGCAGCAAGTAGAACTTCAAAAGCTATTTTAAGAGGTATTATGGATCGAAGGGCAAAGATATTACGGAGAATAAAAACCAGGCACCATTTTTTCCTATTAGCTTCACAAAGGGTTACTTGAAAATATGTTTTCCTAGCACCAAAATAGAGAATTATTTATATTCTTTGCTGCGTTAAACAATAATTATTTTCTCTCAATATATATTTCTTTTATTTCTTAATAATTTGCTTACATTTTCTTGATAATTTTGGCTACGAAAATACTGTTTTAATTAGTTTAAGTCAATGTGATTTTAAATTTCAGTATCTAAAATTTTTAATAAGACTTTTTCTTTTACTCGTCACTAAGATCATACAGCTCTTCAATATTTACACCTAGAGCTCCAAATGTTCATTCAACAAAATTTTTATTTTTAAAATTAGCTTTCAGTTGTCTAACACATAGATTATACTGTTTTATTCAATAATGTAATATTTTACTAAGGAACGTTCTCAAAATTTACAGACTGAAATTTTACTCGCAATTTAGATCTAATGCCAGCAGGATGTACTTGTTAGAATTATTTCACAATTTTCACAGTACTTTCACTGAATCATGTGAATTGTTTTCATTAAATCAAGTAATTTAGTTACTATCACGCTGGCTGAATATTACTTCTTGAATTACTTCATACCTTAAAATATCTTCACAGAATAACTTGAATTATTTTCAAAAGCAGCCATATTACATCCACTGATACCATCAGTGTTTTGATAATTCAAGAATTATACAATTTACAAAGCTCATAAGTGTTTATTTATGCCTTTTAATGAAAAGCAGTAAGTCGCTTTTTTTGGCGGAAACTATTGAAGGATATGATGGCAACACAAAGCAGTAGTAGTACAGGCACAAGGGAGCATGATTCCCTTTATGTTCTATATTTAGTTTACATTGTAATATCTGTAATCTGTTGTTGCATTTGACAACGCTGTTGAATCACTTATCACTGTTGAATACTTGCATTTGGAACTACATCAGTACAGATACTGCTGAATTATTGTACAAAAAATTATGTAATATTTGGCCACTTCATCTTATTTTGATTTATGCACCGCTAATTTTCAATAATTGTCCGTATAGTCCTACTTTATACTAATACTGTATTCATTCTACTGTCTTCAATGAGCTACAGATCTACAGTTGGCTGCTTTCTGCAGCTTGCTTTACAAATTTCATCTGCTATTATAGCTCTTGAACAGTTCTTGGTTGAAACCATTTCTTTATTTTTTTGCTGTTGTAGATCTGCAGTCTATTTTATTTTAATATGTTTATTTTAATATGTATTAAATACCACCATTATATTTGAAATTTTACAAGTAAATATTGCATTTATACAAGTATGTACAGAATGACCCACGATAATACTGGCATGAAATAAATCTACAATGACCTTACTTTTGCTTCGGTGTACATACATATGGGCATACTTGTAATTCGGATTTGACGCATTTCTAACACATGGATACTTTTTGAATAAGTGGCAAAAATATTTAATTTTGAAATTCTTATTTTTCGAAAGGAATGTATTAAACTTTATATGAATACCTGGCAACAAGATTTAATTTATAATTACTGCAAAAGTGTCAATTCATTACTTGAAACTTAGAAGAATCAGCGTAATTCTGAAGAATAAGACTGTACATAGGCCCTCAAAATCTGTCTTAAAATCTTTCTTCTTTGTCACACTACCTAAAAATGCTATTTGCGTATTAATGAATCATATGAAAAGAATGAATGAAATCATAATGAATCGTATGATATCTCATTAGTGAATCCTATGAAATATGAAAATGTTGTTAAGCATTATAAATTGCAAATAGGCATGTCAGGGGAGATATGCAAGTATTTAATTATTTTTGAGTTATTTGACAACGTTTTTTACATAGATTAAGTTAAAGGAAAATGGTATTCTAAAATAGTAGCCAACTACTTTTGAAAAGTTAAACGCCGAAAATAAAATAAAAAAGCATATCTAAACTTAATGTATACTTAACACAAATTAGTCTTACCTTGTATGGGAAAATCATCGCACTATTTAGCTAAATAGATGTATTGAACACCATTTAAGGCGCCATAATAAAGTCTAAATTAAATATTTATTGCTATAATATTACAACTAATACTCAAAATTAATGAAAGGCATCGCTCCTATCCCGCTATTTAAGGGTCTCGGATTGAAAGAAACTGTTTAAGTTAATCTCACAAGTAACTTCTGCTGTATACCTTTTATGCATTTAGCACTAAATTTAGCGCTATATCATCATCGGTTGTTATCAGCATGACAATTCCTCATCCGCTTCTTCAAGAACTCATTGAGTCACTGTGTAAACAGAAACTCACTGTGAAGCCAAATTATCTAAATACTAGCAGCATATATTATTAAGCTTTCACTTAATTTGTATTCTGGTGAAGCTAGACAGAAAAAAAAAAGGAAGAAAAGACTAGAATCAACGTGAAGCTAACTAGTTAATGAAAAAAAAAACCTTCTATCGATTAAAATCGAATAAAATTTTATTCTGGGAGTGATTATCTTTAATTAGAATGCTTATACATATAAAATAAGAGCATTTTTTGTAAATACTAGGATATCTA